TTGCTCTCCTTTATTACATTTTATTCATTGGAGCACATACAGTCAACTCCAACCCATCTCGCAAGGTAAAAGGCGTAAAAATCACGAGCGACCAATTTTCCTGGTGCAAAAGCTCGGCTAATGACGTTTGGACTCCAACAATTTCGGCACCGAGCTCATTTTTAAATTGCCTAGGTCACCAAACAAGCTGAAATACAGGGGGGGCCAAAAAAAAGTCATTTTGCCTCCATGACTTTCAAGGCGCTATAAGTTACACTTTATTAAATTTTTATCGGACATTTTTACTACCATATTAAAGAGCACATTAAATACTATAATGATACTCCGCCACAGCCTTCTGGAGGAGCGCCATCGAGAGATTCGGCCGCGCGAAAGTGAGTGGGTACCGGAGTTGAGCGAGATCGTTGATTTCTCCGCCACTGTAGACCACCCTGTTGAGCTCCGCCCGAACTAGGTAATTGAGTGGGTTCAGGTCAGGGGACATATTTCAATATTACATCTTCATCAGGTACGAAACGCCCTTCCATTCGAAGTAGGCGGGAGTTTTTCCAAAACCCTTCGATTCCATGTGGTGGCACCCAAACCTGTAGCAGCACAAGGTCTCCAAGAAGGTACGGGCGACCACATGTAGGGAGGATATCCTTCTCGAGTTACTTGATGTAACCGCCAGCGCTCACCTTCAGTCGGGGTCTACAAAGAAAATATCGGTCTTCCCATTCCAGGTACGGCCGGTCCACACCATCAACCCGCGCCTTACAAGGGAGGTCTTTCAGGTCGTGGCGCGCTTTTTGGAAATGGTTTGTTGCTTGTTGTAGGGGTCCATACAAGGATCTTAAAAATGGGTTTCATTTTTGCTATGCGTTTCTGGGGAGGTCAAAAACTGAGTGAAAAAATTTGACAAGAATGGGCGATTTTAACTATCTTAATGGGCTCCGTTCTGATTGTAACTTCGAGCATGCATAGTTTAAGAGGTGTTCCAATTAGGTCGAAAATAGTTTCAAATAAAGTACCATATTATCGTCCCATCCGGAATCCATCGAGTTATCAGCTGCGCCATCCGATCCGCCGACAGTGAGCATGAGGGGACCGCTGACAAAAACATCACTGTTGCGTCGGTGCATGCCAAGTGTGTTACTACATGATACTTACATTTTGACTTTATTCAAAACTATTTTCGAAGCCTAATTAACGAGCACCTCATAAACTATGCATGCTCGAAGTTACAATCAGAACGGAGCCCATTAGGATAGTTAAAATCGCCCATTCTTGTCAAATTCTTTTCACTCATTTTTGACCTCCCCAGAAACGCATAGCAAAAATGAAACCCATTTTTGTGATCCTTGTATGGACCCCTACAACAAGCAACAAACCATTTCCAAAAAGCGCGCCACGACCTGAAAGACCTCCCTTGTTAGTGAATGGGGTGAAGATGATGTCCTGGACCGTAGCGACGTTGCCGGAGCTGCTCGATGTTTGAGGTCTTGCAGATCAAGAGTACTGGTCTCCAGGTAGCTATCCATGGGTGATTCCATTCAAGAAGTTCCGCAGCTGTTTGGAGGCCACGTGAATTCCAAAGGCGTTCTCCACTCAGGCCGCGACTGGAGATGACTTCATATTTTGGTGTACATGAAGGTGAATGGCGGCAGCCGGCTCCTGCTTATAGAGGAAGATCTTGGGTATCTTCCGCCCTGGTACTCATATCCACTTCCTCTGTCTGGGCTGCGAAAACTTCGCTCATATGTGACTCGGCCGGAATGACTTTTTTTTGGCCCCCCTGTATGTACACAAGGGTTATTTACCATCGTGATTACAATTATGACACTCATTCTTGGCGCTGGCGCCAAGGGATGACACTACGATTACCTCTTGGGCTCAGCCTTAGCGGAGCGCAGGTAATCGTAGTGTCCATTAGCGCCAGCGGCAAGAGTGAATGTCATATTCGTAATCAGGATGTTAAACTACCCCTACATACAAGTTTTTAGCGGATTTGGTAACTTAGGCAATTTAAAAATGAGCTCGGTGCCGAAGTTGCTGGAGTCCAAACGGCATTAGCCCAAAGGCTCGACGCACGGACCACACCAAAACACGCTGCCGTAACCCTAAATCTGGACGGCGAGTTTTTGAAGCTTGTTTTTGTTGTTTTTCGTATTCTTTTCTTTGCATTGGATGATATCCACTACTGGGAGATGTGATAAAGGATTTGTGAGCCAGGGGTTGCACAGAGACCGCAGGGCGGTGTGACTGTAATGGCCGCGCCAGAAAATTGTGAGGTAGCGGCGGCAATGCTAAAAGTTGTACAAGTGACTCCGTCCTGATAGAAATTTTATCGGTTATCTCATTCGTTTGCGTGTTCTCTCGCCGCTATTTCGTGGCCTCTCCTCGAGAACCGCCCTTTTTTTGTCTCCCGCTTAGCACATGGAAAGCATGATCTCGCGCGTTTTCGACTCTTTCCTTGCTTTTTTTTTTATTCACGAGTAAGTCAACGGGTGCGAACACTTCTATTTCCAACACCGATATCAAAGAACTTCTTCGTGGCTCATGGCGAATTCTGCTTTCAACTTGAAGTACAGCAATGACAATGCTTGCAGTACGAGTGTTATTGCCAAATAAAAGTAGGTGTTACTGCTGAATTCAGTGCAATCCGCAGTAGCTCAACCAAACGCCTAGTTCCTGGTCGTCATACTCCCTCCGGGTAGCCTTTACTGTGACTCCCCTAAACCAACCGCGATTCACGTAATTCAGAGGGTTAGAGATGTAATCTGGAATCGTACCACCACTTTTGCATCAGCTTCAACTAAGCTAATGGTTTATCAAAAAAAGGCCTGTAGCACACATCACATTCACACTGAAAATGCAACATAAAAGGCATTTATTAAATTATTATCTAATATTTACATATCACAAAGAATTCCGTATTCAATATTTTAACATCTGCATAAAGTTGACAGCGTTATACAAGATATTTTGACAAATTTCCATTAAAACTCCCAAGACTCTTGATCTGCTTCGAACTGTTCTTCCGTGAAGAAAGGTTTATCGATTAATCTGAAATATTTTTCAAAGCATAGTTACCAGAGAACTAATCTCATGTAAAGCATGAGCTACTATATATAGTTGATATAGTCGCAATCAGTGGAGGAGGAACTGTCTGGAAGGGACCTATGAGCCCGCCCCGGCTGTCTTTTCTGTATGGTGGCCGGTTAGTGATAGCTTTAGGAACAAAACAACAAGTGAGAGAAAACGCCACGGGTGGACCTATTCCAAACCTCCTGACACCGCCCCGATTGGTTGTGACGATATCAAGAATGTAAAGAAAGATTGATGATCATCGGAAGACTTACTCGATAGCAGTCAAGCCACATAGTGGACATTGGGTGCCGATTATTTCATTGATTTCGCAGGTGACTTTCATGAAGCGTGCTTTTCTTTCTAGAAACGTCTGTATGAAATGCTGTGACAGGCTCAAACAAGAGTGGCAATTCATATCACGAAGAGGGCACGGTCACAGATCAGTTGCGATCGCGGCGGCAGTTGCGTTTAAGGCTGCAACCAGTTAAATGCAGAAGCAGCAGAACCCTCCAACTGCCTGCACTTGGGTGTATGTCGCATGACGCAATCACACTGCCACTAAAGTGTCATAACACATCTTAATGCGTGGTGCCTACCGGGCCGCACAACTTAAGACGTCAAAAACACAAATCTAGAAGTTTAGCGATTCGGTGAGTTGGCCTAATAGGAAAATGCATCGCATGACTTGCCGTGACACATTTATTGTAACGTTACCGCGCCATACAATTCCATCCCAGCTTTTGCTTATATCTAGTCTTGTTCGCCGCTGGTGCTGAGGCGTGTCAGGGGGTCTACTTGGTGCAGCGCCTGCCCGTTTCCACCCATTATGTCGCTTTCTTACTTCAACACTCCGTCTAAAAAGAGGCTCCGCACCATATCCAGCCCGGTGGCACGCACTAGCATTCACAGCGAACAAGGCTGTACACACGGCCTACATCTCAAGTCTCTACGGTCAACCGGGTACACTCCGAAAAACGCAGTTGACATCGCGCTCACAACTGTGTCACAGCGAGTGCACTCTTGAGATGATATGAACTGTGCGGACTGAAAGTCAAGAACAGACCATCGGAGAATTTGTCGCTGTTTACAGGGACTCGATCGGCAGCTTGAAGCTGTGCAAACAGCCGCTTCTCAGTTGCTTCAAGGTCGGTGAGGCGAGCTTTTAGTTCCTGGAACACAGAAGAAGGTACCTCAATGGAAACAGATTCTTCAAGTAACTGAACTATTGATGGCTCAGACAGTTTCAGATGTATCACCTTTGCAACGCAAAAGTTTGATATCATTTTCGAAACAAAGTCAATAGGATCTGTGCAGCCTTATGTAGCAAACCGATCTCAACACTGAACATAATGAACAAAAACAGTCAGTAATATTTTAAATAGATTTACGAAACAAATACATTTCTCAGCCCTACAGAGTTACTAGTTCCACCAACCTCACTCAAAAATGGCATCATTTCTTCCTCTAAACACTCTCGATGGAAGAAATGTCGGCAATGGTGAGCATGAAAAGGCCGTCCAATCAGCGAGCGCTCACATTTAGCGCATACATCTCCAGCTTTGACAACGGTCACGCTAAAAATCGTTACCGCAAGAGTAATCTCAGAGAATGGTACAGAACACTCACAGCCATAGAGGAGCGCGAAAAACCATATTTTACCACTCAAAGTCAGTTCCATGCAGCAGGCTTTTCTATGTATTTCCTACGAATCCCTGGCGCTCCGAGTCCTAACTGTTATGAATAAAAGAGGTTACGGCCTTCGTGAGCACATACTAGTTCAATGGGCATATACTATTTAGTTGCGGAGCGAATCATCTAGTGTGGCCTCCATGAGCATACTCTAATTGTGGAGGGTATCAAATAGCGTGAACATGTCCATTCTAGCACTTCTCGATTTCTCGGTGTCTGTGACAAAGATTACAGAAAATCAAAATTTACCGATCGCGAAGTCGCTCAGTCTTCTCTCGAATCTCTTGCGCCATGACCGTCGCATCTTTCATAGCCTGTTGAAGTTCCTGAACATGATTATGATAAGCTTTTAGTGAATCCTTACCATACGAGTAACCAATGTTCAAAAGAATCACCTGGATTTTAACTGAGTGCTCCTTGAGACATTCACACAGCGGCTCTTTGAAGTCTTTGATTTCCGTGAAATCAGGGAAGAACGGTAGAATATCCTGTGAAAAATTATAAGGTGAATACGATGTCGCAACAGGTCTGGGACCGCAGTAGCCTCGATCCTCCCTGTGTGAAAGTTCTGGTTGATTCTCATTCTCCAACGCACAAAGAACAGCACGAAGAAAGTTTTTAGGGCCCCATTCATTGAGCTTTTCACTTCTAGGTGTTGCCGGCATGTCGTTGGTCCTGTCTTCTTCACTACAGCATTTATTTTTGCAGTCATATATCCTCCTTGAGCGGGGATGGGTGTAATGGCAACTAGGGCACATACCACGTCCACTGTTCAAAGATTAGAGAAAATCGAAATAAAGCTAGGGTCGAATCCCGCCCGCCACAAACAAACCTCCCTATACTTTTATTGCTGATAAAGGTGTCTCGGAGGATTGAGCAAGGGATCCCCAACGGCTGGCTGTCACTGGTCATAGCGCAAACCAAGCCAAAGCTAACAAGCAAATGTTCCCATTCCAAAGACAGATTTGTTCGGAAATTTCACGCGCTTTGTCCTTTCAACTCCTCTTTTAGGGCCCATTCATTGAGCTTTTCACACCTAGGTGTTGCCGGCATGGTCCTTAGTCCTGTCTTTTTCACTACAGCATTTACTTTTGCAGTCATATATCCGGGTGTGATGGCAACTAGTGCACATATCGCGTCCACTGTTCAAAGATTAGAGAAAATCTAAATAAAGCTAGGGTCCAATCCCGCCACAAACAAACCTCCACATACTTTTATTGCTGATAAAGGTGTCTCGGAGGATTGAGCAAGGGATCCCTCAACGGCTGGCTGTCACTGGTCATAGCGCAAACCAAGCCAAAGCTAACAAGCAAATGTTCCCATTCCAAAGACAGATTTGTTCGGAAATTTCACGCGCTTGTCCTTTCAACTCCTCTCTACCCTACTCCTAACTTTCTAGTGGTTCCCCCCTTTCATTGTCGAACTCATCTCCTGGAAAACTGCAAGAACGCGAAACAAAGATTAGTCGTCCGCCAAACGCGAGCGAAGACTGTTGCAATGCAATCTCTAAGAATGGCGGCCTTCTTACTTCTCGAAGACATGGGTATTCTAATCGTCCCATGCGACCCTTGAGGGTATATGCTATCGTTTCCCAGGCCAGAAGATGGCCTGCGCAATCCCGTATCATCTCGTGCAGTATAAAAAGTGAAATGAAAATACCTGAATGGAAAGAACATCCCCTGACTCCTTCAGCAAGGCTAAGCTTTCCGCTGCGTTCTCAGTTTTACCGATAACGAAAGATGCTGAATATTTCGTACTGACTTTTTTCTGGATTTAGTTTTCACGACAAACTCAAATCTACCTATTTTCAACCATATCCTTCTTCTATATTCAACAGAAAATTTTGGTTCTAGTCCCATGATAGTATCCTCTTCATCTGGATCCATCATATGCGCGCATTCCTTCGCTATCGTAACACCATTATCAGGAAACGCCTGGAAATATTGACATGGCATAATTTGAGGAATGAAACTTGGTGGTAAGACTTAGACTTGCCTTGAGAGCAAGATCGACAGCATCACTGAACATCTCTGAGACGCAGTATAAGAACACCGTTGACTTTTCCAGCTCTACAATAGACGTCACATTAGAATCGCGATGCGATCTCACTCAATGAGGAAAAATGTATAAGGATTATCTTACTGTATTGCTCGCATGTTCTCAATGCAAAATCAAGATCATAAGGTACAGCAGTCTTGTCGAACCCGCACTTTGTCAGATATTCGTGTAGCCGCTTAGGCCGAAATCGAGCGTACAAAAGAAGGAGAAGATTATGAAGAGCAACATCTCCAGACGTCTCCCGAGTTTCTACAGCCCATTCGAGGTACTTCAGCGCATGAGCTGCCTAAGTAGCAATGTTTTTGTTCAGCAGCAATGAAGGTTCGATGGTGGAAATATGAAACAACAATTTCTATACACAAGGAATCTATAGCCTTGATCGCTGCGGATGCTGGGGCGGGTCAGAGGAGGGAGGCTCGGTTTGGCACGCAGCGGCGCTCCATCAAGTGCGGAAGCTTATCAAACAATTGTGGAAACTGGCAAGTAACCACAATTGGTGCAAAATGGCGCACAAAACCCAGTCCCCTGACACACGCCAACGTCCGCAGCAAAAAAAAACTGTATATGAAGGCAACTCTAGCAGCAAGCCGTCTCTTGTCTGAGAGAGACGCGATAGCGCCGTCACTCGGCAATGTTTAGAGGTGTGGCTGGCTGTGCGACAGCGCAAGCAGAGTATGGTGACCGCGCCCGGGTAGCCCTACAGTCCGTGCCCTACAACCCCTTCTCCGTGCACTTCTTCGCGGAGGAAGGGCCATGCAACTGCAGCTGCGGACCCGAAACGACCGTCTTCGGGAAGTGAGTGTTTAATGTCTTTGAACGTCTGTTGATGTGCTTATCACAGAAAGCCCACTAACAAAAGATTCTTTACAAAAGCATCAAAGTGACGATCCTACGCATCTTGGTAACTCACTGATAGCAGATGTACTTAACTACATGTCTAATTCGCTACGGATGAGGGGCGTACTCACTGATAGCAGATGTACTTAACTACATGTCTAATTCGCTACGGATGAGGGGCGTACACACTGATAGCAGATGTACTTAACTACATGTCTAATTCGCTACGGATGAGGGGCGTGCCTTAGCGAGCAAGTGACAAGACTGTATTATATAGTACATATCAGTTGTTCCTTACTGTTGTCGCGTACACGTTTCACCAATTGGCAAAGCACGCGTTTGGCGCCATGGCACACCCATACTGCCTGACACGCCCCTTCATCTGCAGCGAATAACGATATACTTCTCCGATGACAGCCCTTTTTCCCCAGAGTTCGCGATGCGAAAGTCGTCATAAAATTGCTGCTTGTCTACTCCTGTGAAAACACTTGCCCTGACCAAGTATTTGTCTACGCCCTTCCCTTCGCTTTTACGCAGATGCTGGAGTAAGAGGTTGTGTTTCGAAAAATATTACCAGCGACGTTATTCGCGCTGCCTGAAATCCAGCGGTCGCTATCCCTTCACAATTACGCTGCACAAGCCGAGAGTGAATAGACAAACCTTTCTCAAAACAACTATTTGTTAATTCATCCAAAATTCGTGGTTTTCTGCATCAAAAAATGCAAAGTAACAGAGACAGGTAAATGTATCTCTTCTTAGGGAAAATGTTCCCGCCAACTCCTTCAAAAGTATAAATGTCTCTATCAGGTACAGAGAACCGCTACATTAGGATAATTTTAGTGGTTTTTCTCGAAAACGGTAGAATTGGAACGCTAATCTCACCATTCCTACTGACTCTTGACAAAGCCACAGCGTTGGTAGCATTCGCTGTGGTCGCACTTGCTCATTACCAATGAGAGACGCGAACAGTTCCATGGATATGTGTTTCACCAACTTGGGAGAGTAGTTATAATATAAATCCGGAACGTTCTGAAAAACACAAGCTCTTGTTCACTTCACTTTGCAGTCGACAATATTTTCAACATTCTACACGATCAAACACTCGCCTGGCTTTTCAAGATTTCAAGTGCTTCCATGTAGTGCTCCCTAATCAGATGTATTTCAATAACTCTATCGAAATCTGAAATGCATTTCCACGATGAGATAAAGAACAGTTATCTACAAAGCCTCATGAATCCTACCGCCGATCTGTTTAGCAAGGAATAACTGCGAGTCAAAATCAGCATGTGACGCCATAAGGTTGTATACAGCATCTTTGTTGACAACCACGCTGTCCTTAATTATAGAACGATTAACAACTGAGCAGTTAATGCCTCGCCGATTCCGGGAACTTACGTGAACATTCTTTCTCATGAGAAATCGCTGCAAATGTGTAGCGAGATCAGAACTTTCCTCGTCACGACCTTCACGGCGTGCTTCCGCTAGTTCAGCAAGCTGAATTTCTAGGAGCCATATCACTAACATTTCGCGACGTAACCGATCCTAGAAAAAAGGCAACTGCAATATAATACACTGAAAATTCTCATTGATGTACTCAACTGAATGAACATATGGGTCGATGTCGTGTTGACGATAACTCGAAGTTCCAATAACAGTTTTTTTGGTATTTTTTCTAGTTACCGAATCTTTTCGGAAGGGATAACAAGCACCATCTGTCTTCGCTATACTGCTTTACTCAATATATTTTTACAGGGCCTTTGATTATCCGTCTCGATTGGCGACTTAAGTGGATGCAATCATAGATGGGTAAATAAATATGAGCACTGCAGAGTCCTATTCTATCGAATTACGGAAATTTATAACTTGGGATATGACATGCGGCTTCCATTTAGAACCGCAGTGGCACCTGAATGCGAATTATCAAACGCAGTGGCAAGAGGCGGCTGGCTGATACGCTGGGTCTTGTTCATTACCTTCCAGAAAAGCCTGTTGCCAAGTTACCGACACTGTGGCAATGAAGAACTGGTGGGCCTGGGTGTTATTCTGTACAATATTTTACACCAGGACCCTATGGTGTGGAATATTCTATAGAATAACGCCCAGGCCGGTATGCGCCGCAACTTGCCACTGCACCACCTATTTCATTATACTCAACTTGTCGATAGCTATTCCCCAGAATTCTTAAAAGCGAGTTTTTGATCGAAAGTCTTGTGCGATGAAGATCGTCAGAGCAGAGACGGTCGTGCGTTTGGGATCCCTAATAAAGTTTTTCTGGTCGCCGGAAGGGAGGTCGTATTTTGCCCGGGGAAAATTTTCTGATGGTTGACTTTTCTTGTTCAGCGAGCACCAAATCATGCTCAATTGGTGGCGTTACAACTTCTGACGATTTACAGGAGTTGTCAACCCCTTCTCGTTGACCAACGTTCGGGGCATGTGAGATCATGACACAATGGTTAGGATCTGATAGGCTGGAAGGTCGCGCGAGAGGAGCAAATTTGGAGGGAGGGTGGTATTCAACGAAACTTCGCCCTTACACCAGGACGCGCCTTGCTTCAGAGGTCTACACCTAGCCAATACTCAATGCCTGTTATCGGCAGGAGACAGTTCAATAAAAACACTATCGCCAGTTGCAAAATTCCTACCTCAGGACGCGACATTACATCCAGTTTTTTCTCCAGTAGCGTTTTTAATCCAAGATGTCTAGGATCATCAGCTGACATAAACTTTAAGACGACTGCTTCGAATGCCTCAGTGGACTGAGCGAGAATCTCCGCAGCTGCCGTAAAACTGCAACGTTTCAGTATCTTTGATGAGCCGCAAACACAACACATAACTTTGAAAATGTGTGCACAATCAGAAAGATGACTCATGCGAAAAACTTGTCCTAAAAATAAAGTTAAGCAAGGGAATCCGGAACATCTTAATGTGTTCTGAGAGCACGATGGAATATATTAAGCAGGATGTAAAAAAAACCTCTAGAGATCGAGAAATGGAATGAAACTCACTTTTTCTCGGCTATGTATTTATCTGCTTGCCGCTTCAGAACCAACTCATGGGCTTCGGGGTCGATTTCTAATCTGCTTCTGGCGATCGTAAGCGCTTTGGCATAGTCTCCACGTTCCAGAAACACTCTCCACACGTATCTTCAAACAAACTGGGCAATGAAACGTCGCTCCTTTGTATAAGGTGAACACTTCTCGAAGAAGAGTAAAACATGCACCTGTTCTCATCTACTGGTTTGTATTTCATGGTCACATGACTAGTAAAGAGCCATTGAAATCCTGATGTTGGATCACACACCAGACCGACTGAATTACCGAATTCCTGCAAAAGAGAATTGCGCGAAACCTAAATATCGTGAGGCGCAAAGCGTGAACGCGGCGGCTTTTGGCGAGAAGAACTTCCATTCTCTATTTCCAGAAACCTTCCAAGATGTCCACGTGAACTAACCGTTGGCCAGACATCCTCGTATACCACTGTTTTCGTATAAATCGACAGAGCATTAAGCCGATTAGGATAGGCTAAAAGCATGTGATATTCAGTCAACGATACTCCAGTAGGACGCTCGAGACGACCTTCATAACGTCGATGCCTGTAAACATACAAAAGTACGAATCACATCAAACGGTGAGCAGTTCTAGGCTATTTTCCCCATCGAGTACAATCTCCACATATTGGAAATGTTCAACAGAATTGATGATGATCACTAACTCCATGTGGTCCTCTTCTTCAACAATGTCTCGAGGTTTGTCCGCGAAGAGATTGATTTTCCCAATTGTTATCCCACCCGGACCGAGCCAGAGGAAACGTTGCGCCTCTCCGTGAGGAGGATACACCAAAAGAGCACTGAGGTCCGGCAGAGTTTGTGATGACGCTGCGTTCTGCATTGACATACATATCTGTTGAGATTCTAAATAGAGAGAGAAATCATAACTAGCCCTTCAGCTATTACAGAAACTCAGAAAGATTCACCTTTCGTTGAGAAAAATGGATGAAATATGTGAGGAGGCGTTTCTGGCATTGTAATCCATCCTGCTTGTAAGTTTGCCGCTCCAATGTAATTACTTTTAGGAGCAGGAGACATGTCAATAGAGGCATAGACGGAGTGCAGCCGACCCGGCTGGCACACTAACATCAACCACCTAAGGTTCATTAACACGTTTACTACACGAGTAAACAGATATGACGATTTCCCAAAGATTAACTCACTTTGCCGCTTTCGGGTTATCATCGTTGAGCATATATAAATAAAGATCAGATATACATAGGTTTTTCTCGCTACCAAAGCTGGCAGAGTGTTCCTTCGCAAAACTGACCACACCAGTTGAGGAAACCGTGGTCTCAATAACTGCTCCTGAAGATGGTGTTTATCAATCCTACACACTGAAAATAGTCTGTGAATAAAGCACAGGTGGCCAGTCCCAAAATTCTTACTGTTTTTCTCATAGAACGGAGCTCTTTCAAGATTTCATGTACCAACGATGGTGTCCCAAGCACTTCCTCAAGGTCTTTGAAAACAATCAGTCACATAACGTGAACGAACATCACTACCAGCTGATTTATACAAAAGACTATGGAAAAACGAGACACCGTTAAGAACCGACCAATAATTACGAGGACTGGTTCGGTCCAAGGGTGGTGGAGCCATGGGAAAAGGATAAACCAGCAAAGGGGACATACAGTTGATAGCGTCGTAATCGGTTGGGCGGGGACAAAAAGTACAGAATGAACCTATCCGCTGCGTTTACACACTGGTGTTCCCTTTCCGAATCGATCACCAACCGATCACCATTGGTGGAAAAAGGCAGCCGGAGGTGGGATCATTCCGCCCCTCTTAACACCGCCCCCATTGATTGCGAGGTATCATTATATGGAAAAGATTCATTCAGCTATTCTTCCCTATGAGTATGAGGCAGCTAGACTTATAGTGTAAGGAACAACGGTGGCAGCTTTCTCTCACCGTTCCTGTAAAATGCGAGGTTTTTGTGCTGCAGAAGGAATGGCAGAAAGGAAGATAAAAGTGGCATTGCGAATGCTAGGAAGACATGCTCCGATTGAGAACAGGAAGGTGCTGGGAGCGAATAGATATCAACACTTTTCGTGTCTATCGCATAGTACTTGGAGCTGTACATTAGCTCCCAGAAGATTTGTTTCCTTACAAAAAAATCCACTTTCTTGATAATTGTTGGTTGGTAATAAATCTTCTTTCTATCATATTTTGAAACAGTTCAGCTCGTATTGATGATTCCTTATGGTATTTAATTGGTTGTTTTTGTAGACCTGATGAAGGGCCCAAGGGTTGAAACGTCGCCACATGAAATCTTGAAGAAGAATCTTCATTCCACAAGAGAAAGAAATTCGATGTCCAATGGAACACAGATATTCCATACTCCCTGAGGCCCGCAGACCCCGTAACCACCACGATCAGAGCAGCGAATAGCACTGAGTCTTATGACATAATCAAAACTAACAAGCGGAGCGGAGCTACTCATTGATAACTGATCTCTGACCTTGCGTTGTCCCTAGCAAAATGTGTCCTGTTTCTCCTTCTTTGATACATTCTGGATTCCATGCCACACTGCTCAAAACGCCCTATACAGCAATGAATCATAATCATACATTTTCAACCGCATTTCACGCTAATGAATGAATGAAAGCCACTGAAGAAAACTGCCAACCTTGATCTTTTTCAGTGGGTAAACAGTACCAGACTTTACTTGAACATAGTAATTATCACCCTGTTTGGTGGTAACCAAACAGTGTTGTCCTAGAGTAGACAGGAAGATGTTGGCGATTGCATCTGCTGGTCCAATCGGAACTTTTATTTCTGCAATGAAGTTCAGTCATGATGGAATTCCCGCAAAAAAAAGGATTTATTACGGTTACTGACAATGGGGAAGTGAACCACGCGGTGGGAAAGACGCATGGGGGGGGGCACAGATTGTCTGGGAACGAGCACAGTCATAGGATCTGTGTACAAGTCTTCCTCTCAGTTATAAGTAGACGAATATGTTTGTGAAACAGCTAGATGGGAGATCAATTTGCGCATATCAACTGCATTAGGATACCACAGGCTTCAAGATCATAATGAAGGCGGAATTTTAGAGTCTCGGTGCAGGTTTCAAAGTACAGAGCCTAGGAGAGCTGGACGATATCACGAAGACGTTTATCAACAATTCGCTCAAAAATTTTCATGCTGTGCGAGAGCAAGCGAATTGGACGATAATTTGAGCAGTCTGCAGGACTGCTGTTGCGAATCGGTGTCCGCCCGTGGGCCACACACAAGGGTCACCGAGGGGTCGGTGAGCTAAGTCCTACTCCCGGAGCAGTCCTACGTCCGACCTGGCCAGTATCGTACGTAACCTGTCGCACCTAATGACATCTAACTACTTAGAGGCTACTCTCCCCGTAATCCACTCTGTACATTGTACTGAAGTAACGAGCGGTTATACCATTATACCAGAATACAAAGGAGGACTAATCTATTTATGTCTCTGAAGTATATAGGATCGTGTTAGTAACTCAACGATAAACAATGGAATAACTAGAGGATAAGATAACACGTTAGAAACATAACTCACGTCGGGCCACCGCTCGTAGCCTGCTAGTCGACCAAGGAAGGATTTGATAGATTCATAAAGGATAGCAGTTCTAAGGGCCGAGGCCCCACGTGTCCGTCGCCGAATATGGAATAGTCGTAAAAACCGCTTCGTAGCTAGACAGATGATGAAC